TATATATTAAAAGTTAAATTCTTATTTTTCTTCAGGATCAAGTTTTTAGTTTTGTTGCAAAATAAAGAAATATAAGTGAAAAATATAATCTGAATTATTGTTGTACTGTGCATATTAGCAGTATTCGGGGATCAAGTTTTTTGCACCGTTGTCGGGAAAGAAAAGAAAAACAAATTTATATTTTTAGAAAGTCTTATTTAAACTTTAAGTTATCTTATCTTATTTTGAGTGTGTTTATTTTTATTTTACTTTATGTTAGTATATGCGTAATTCAGGTTCTAAAGAACTAGTGCCCTACGATTCTAAATTAGAAAGAACTATTAGAAAAATCAGAAAAACTAAAAAAATTAAAAATCTTAAAAAAAAAATTACAGAAATGGCAAACCAAAATAATCAAAATGCTAAAATTCATCAAGAGTTTAGACCTTTAAGAGATTATGCCAGCCCTATTGTAGATGAACTTCATTGTAGTATTCAAAAACCTATTGTAGTGACTAATTCATTTGAGCTTAAACCTACTATTATCTAAATGGTATCAAGTAATCAGTTTGGGGATCACCAACTGAAGATCCAAATTTGCACCTTACAAATTTTATAGAATTGTGTGCTACATTTAAATACGATGGTGTTTCAGATGACGCCATAAGACTTAGGTTATTGCCTTTCTCACTGAGAGATAAAGCTAAGATATGGTTGAATTCGTTAGCACCTGGATCTATCAGAACTTGGGGTGATTTAACATAAAAATTCTTTGCTAAATATTTTTCAACATAAAAAATTGCGAAGCTTAGAAATGATATTACATCCTTTAATCAGTTTGAAGGGGAATCTATTTATGAAGCATAAGAATGATTTAAAGAACTCTAAAGAAAGTGTCCACACCATGATATACCATATTGGTTAATAATTTAAACCTTTTATAATGGATTAATTGGTTCTCTCAGATCTATTATCGATGCTGCTGCTAGTGGCTCATTGATGTCAAAACCATTTCATGACGCTTATGCCTTAATTGAAGAGATGGCTACCAATAATTTTTAGTGGCCTTCTGAGAGGGTGAATCCAAAGAAAGTAGCCAACATTTATGAGACTGATGCATTTACTTTGTTAGCAAATCAAGTTGCTGCAATTTCAAGGAAGTTAGACCAATTTGGAATGAATTTTTCTCAACCAATTTCCATGATTGAAAAGAATTCATTAGGCCGAATGGTAGATTCTCAAGCATCATTAGAAACTTTGAATGCCATAAATAGTAAGTAGAATAGCCCATGTTAGAAGAAATATCCCAACTTTAACTGAAATAACAATTCGGGTGGTAATAATCAACAATGGAGGAACAATCAAAGAAACTCATTGGGAAACTGAAACAACCAAGGGAATAATAATTATAGATCTACTTATCCTCCATGTTTCAACAGTAATACGCAATTTAAGGAGAAAAGGTTGTCTATAGAAGAAGTGGTTTACAAATGGGAAATCAATTACAAAGTCAATGAGCTAAAATTAAAAATATTGAGAATCAACTTAGGCAAATCGCAAATTCATTAAATAATAGATCCCAATGAACACTTCATAGTAATATTGAATCAAATCCAAAAGTCCAGAATAAAGAGCAAGTAAAAGTCGCTCAACTTAGAAGCGGAAGAGAGTTGGAAGGTAGGGTTCAAAAAGAAATTGAAGTAGAGAGAAGAAATTGAAGAATCAAAAGATGACGCTCCAAAAGATTCTGAGAGACCTATTTCTCCACTAAAAATTGATTTGAAAAAACCACCACATCCATTTCCTC